TATATATATATATATATATATATATATGTATTAAAAAATAGAAAACATGAATAGAAAATGGGAATAATAGTAGTTATAAAGGTAAGCAAAAAATATCAAAGCAGCATCAATTTTGATTCTCCATGAGAGGGAAAAGACCAAACAGCATCTCAGAGAAAAGGAAAGAAGAGAAACTGCAATTCAGAGAACTTTGTGATAAAATATTATTATTAACCTTTTAAAAGATTCGAACAAACTACTTTTTCTCATAAATTATTTAAAAATATTCTACATGACTCATTCTTTACAAATATAGTCAGTGTCTACTACCTTTCTCACTGTCAAAAATGAAACTCATTTTTCAACCCCCGTTCGATATTTACATCAAATTATATTAAATTATTATAATTAAATAATTTATTAAAGTAAGAATGCATGTAAATGAGTTATAATTAAATGATAAAAATATGTGTAAATATGAACAAGTTTTTATCTTTGATAAACTCAGTAAATTTTAATATGTGATAGTAATATGTTTAAATATTATTTATTAATGATTATCATGAAAATACACTTATAATTACTTGATAATTGATTTGTATAAAAATTGTAAGTACAATAATTAACTTAAAAGCTAAAAAGCTGTTTTCCACAAAGTTACTTTTGTCAGGCTACTGCTTAAAGGTTGCTGGAAATGGATGGAATTAGATTAGTGTGTTGGTGATTTTGTGTTGTTTGGTACTTTGGTTTACCCTCAGTATTAAACTTTTTTTTTCAAATTATTTTTCGAGACTTGATACTAAACATCATTTAACAAAGTTAGTTTGGTAAAATATTTATATTAATAATTATTTTTTAATAAATATGTCAAGTCAAAACGTGACAAGTAAAAGTGAATGAACAGAGTAATAAAAGGATGATACTACTATATTATCATTTAACTTTATTTAATTTAATACTTTAAGAAATGTGTGAGATGATAAATAATATTTAATAGCAAGGGTAAAATAGACACAAAAGATAAATTATCTCTTGATTTTCTAAATTGGACAAATATTGTTGGACAACTAATTCTAATATAGTGGACAACTATTGCTGAAACGAGGGAATAACACATTCATCTCCCTTTTAGTTATTAGTTAAATGACAATGATTTAAAGCTTATTTTTGAGCATATTGAAAATTTAAGAGAGATCATTAGATCGTAGTCTTACAAATATTAGATGATGAAAAAATCAATTTTTTTATGCTCCATATATGAGTGAATATAATTCCCGAGTTTAATATAGTTAAAAGGATAATTTTCAAGAGCTATAATTGTAGAATCATAATAACGTCAACATATGTGTAATCCACAAGAAGAAATATTTGCATAAATCAAACCTTTTGTTTTCCTCATCACAAAGTATCTTGGTAGAGGCAGAGGTAGAGTACAAGATACAAATAAATAGAACGAAATAATAACTTATTTTTATAAGAGTAACGATATTTCAATTTATTGAACATCAATGAACTCGAATAATTTGACAAATCACATATATAAATGTATGTCCGAATAAATAATTTGTAATTGTAGTACATATACAATTGGTGAGATTTAAAATAGACGCTTTGAATAAATTTATACGTCTAAGAAAAATCAAAGAGCATGAATCGAAATAAGTACAAGAGTCTCTCGAGTCATTCATCCAAAAGCTATACAACACTCAAAATGAAAGGACAATATTGTCATTTAAATTTTTTCATACTATTTCTATAGCGACAAACAGAAAAAATAAAATAAAAAATTTAATGGAGAACCATGCTGAAGTAGGACGCCAGCTGGAGCCATGGGGAGAACTCGCCGGAAAAGTGGTGCTGATCACCGGAGCTTCGTCGGGAATCGGTCGAGAATTTTGCCTCGATTTATCAAAAGCTGGTTGTAGAATCATCGCCGCCGCTCGCCGTATCGATCGATTGAAATCTCTATGCGACGAGATCAACGGAATCAGCTCGAATTCCTCGATCGAATCGACAATTTCAAGTCAGGAGCTTCGAGCCGTAGCGATTGAGCTCGACGTTAGCGCGAACGGTGCTGCCATTGAAGCCGCCGTGCAGAAAGCTTGGAACGCCTTTGGACGTATCGATGTTTTGGTAAATAACGCTGGAATTCGAGGTGAAATTGATAAATTGACGAATTTTTCTTCTGAATTTTTTATTGCACGATATTCGAGGTGATTTTGAGAATTTGATTGTGTTGTTTTGAATTTCTGATGCATAATGAATATGGCAATTGAGTAGTTAATTGTTCAAAAGTTTTATTTTGAAGTTGTACTGTTGATCAACATTAGAAAGATTATTTTTTCTGTAAAAGTTCAATTCTTTGCACAAATTTTAGTTAAATTAAAAGGCCATTTGTTGAAGGAATAGTTTGTGGAAGAAGAGGAGATGTGTCGATGTTCCAGTACCGTAGTGTGAGAGGTTGGCGATGCGCGGGTTGAAGCCTGAAGGAGAGCTGGAGTTAGGTGGAAGAAGTATTGAGGAGAGTTGATTTGACAAGATATGGTGCATTTTAGCTTATGAGGACATGATATTGGATAGGAGAACGTGGAGGTTGTGAATTAGGGTAAAAAGTTAGGTAGTCGAACCTATGTGGAAAAAGAACAGTGATATAGCTAGGTACTTATGTGAAAGTTGATGTAGCTAACATTCTAATGTGTACATGAACTTTGTCCATGATTTATATTTTTAGTTGCTATCAACCTTAATTAATAAGTTAATGAATAGCTATTTTGGGCAGATATCAGAAATCCAATTGAATACAACTATTAATGTAAGAAATTCTTCCTCCAAGCTTGTCAATGGAAGGTGTTACTGTTTTTGATGACTTTCGAATGCTGCTTTTGGTGCACGTTTTAAGTTTTGAAAATGTCCAGCTGACTTCTAGAAGAGAAGTTTTTTTTGGGGTTATGTGGGTGGATGGGTGGGTGGGGGCAGTTTGTGATGGTTCATAGCAGGGGTGGAACCAGGTAGGGCAAATCGGCATTAGGACTTCTATAGCATCATCCTTGCCCATGGAGGCTGGAGCCTATCTCCTTTCTTACCTTTTAGTAATTGGTTGTATGACGACTAATCTGTCATTTGTTTCTTATAGGCAGTGTGCACTCTCCACTGAATTTGTCAGAGGAGGAATGGGAGAAGATCTACAATACGAACCTAAGAGGGGCATGGTTGGTGACCAAATATGTTTGTATACATATGCGCGCTGCTAATCAAGGAGGATCTGTTATTAATATCTCTTCTACCGCTGGTCTTAATCGTGGGAAATTACCAGGCAGTCTTGCTTATGCTTCTTCAAAGGATGCTCTGAACAGCATAACAAAGGTAGTGTCTTGGTTTTTCTATACTGTGTGATCCTCTGGGATTTAAAAATTTAAGCTAGCATCATTGAAATTGCATGAAATTATGTCAAGACAAGCATACATGACTTTTCCAAGTTAATCAGTCTCTTCTGTCAGCTCGAAGCACACAAATTTCATACATGATATGTTATGTTTCTGACTTCGGTAGCTCCTTGAACAACGATGGAGTAAAGGAAGACAAATTCATATACAACCTTAGAGAATGCATCTAAATGTGCTGGAAACATATGAATATACAAAATAGTCCAACATATTGAGAATATATATATATAGTGCAGTAGTTCTAAGGAAGAGTGCTCTAGGATAGTTGCCTCACACTTTACATATATGATGGGATGCCCTCACACACTTCTGTCTGTTGGCTGTGATTCTTTTATAGGAGGCTTTGTAGCTTTCGCTTTTAAGATATTACTCTTGGCATTGTCGCTAATACGTAATGGTTGTTAGTGGTAGACAACATAAGCAAGATGGTTTAACTTTCCGAAATGTACTATAAATGATCCTTCTCATTAGGTCTCATCCATTCAACTTTGGCAGCAGTCTGATGCAACGTCAAGTGTATAGTAATGCACACTATAATACTTTTGTATGTGTTTCTTCTCGTTCTGATTTACAGCCTCATAAATCATTGTATTCTTCAAATGTAACAGGTGATGGCCATCGAATTGGGACCATACAAGATCAGAGTGAACTCAATATCACCGGGAGTTTTCAAATCTGAGATAACAGAGCGCCTCATACAAAAGGACTGGTTTAAAAATGTTGCATTGAAAACCATTCCCTTGAGAACGCATGGAACGTCAAATCCTGCTTTGACTTCAGTAGTACGTTATTTAATCCACGATTCCTCAGAATATGTTTCAGGCAACATTTTCATCGTAGATGCTGGAGCTACTTTACCAGGTGTCCCAATTTTCTCATCCCTCTAGTCATAGAGGAAACTAAATTTGTTCAGTTTGTGTATACGATTTTAGTATTTCATGTTAGTTTGCTTAAGATATGTTGTGGCCTTGTTCCGCTAGACGTTACTCAGTCATGTTAGAGGCTTCATAGATAAATCGTAATTTATAGACATGATCCGGAGCAAGAGACATGTTCTTGTTGATAGGCTGCAAATTGAGTTCATATTTTTTTCCTTTCATTCCCTATAACTCAAACTTGTGCAGAATATATTTGAAGTTACATTCACTCGTTATTAAGATTCTTTGAGTTCATATTCGAAGTGTCACTAACAACAAGATGAAAATCTAGTCAATCAACTATGCTACTAAGATTTCCTAAGTTACATTCACTCGTTAATAAAGTAACGTTAATTTTTTATGTTATGCTTTATTATATTTCTTGTCATTGTTCAGATTTATTTAATTAAATTTTACGTATATAATAGTAACTGATTATTTTATATCAAAGTTTGGAGTGTGGTGGGTGGTTGTTATGGAAATGAAAGTTGAAGGGAAAATAAGAGGAAAAATCGGAGAAATTGTAAAGTGGAAGAAAAGAAGTAAATGTAAAGAACAGAGAAAAGGAGAAGAAGCTAGATGGAAATTGATTATTATTTTTTAAAATCATACCGTATCATTAGTATATTATTTTAAATTTTAGTACTTCCCCATTTTACAAATATTATAAAATTAAAAAATATTTTTTGTTTAAAATTGCAAAATTCATAATTTTTCTTTATTTACTTAAATTTTATTCACAATTAAAATCAGGTATATAAACTAAAACAAAGAAAATATTTTTATTAAAAATAATTGCTCTCTTCGTTCATTTTTAGTTATTATAGTTTCTTTCTTAAGAGTCAAACAATATAAACTTTGACTAACGTTTTAAAATGTAATTTTTCATCATATTGATTATAAAAAAAATTTCAAACTTTTTGTGTAGTTTTTAAATATCTAAATTATTATTTTAAAATATTTAATTAATGTTATCTGATTTAGCTTTAAAAATTAGTCAAACTGACTCTAAAAAAACACAACTGACTATTAAAATGAACATATGAAATATATTTAACACATGCTTGACGGTTGACCACATTAGTTTTATTATTAGTCAAAGCATGGTCAACATAAATAATTATTTAGTCAAGTCTAGGTCGTTAAATGAGAAAACCGGAAATCAAGAGGCAACTTCTAATGTCCGAATATATGTCAATTCATAAAATTAATAAATATAATATGCATATATTTTATATATAATTTTTAATATTTAACTATAATTAAGTAATAATATATAATAGTATTTTAAAGTTAATTTATCAATTCTTAATATTAACTACTTGTCTAATTAGATACTCTCTCCCTTCATTTTTATTTATTTGAATATGTTAAAAATGACAAGTAACGGAATTGAATGTTCGTTGTTTGGTTATCTTGTTAGGATGAATGGACAAGAATATTTCACGTACAAAATATATTTTGGGATTAATTAGTTTCCATAAAATAGTTCTTCATCATTATTTTGGGTTTTTATTTCTTATTCCTCGTACCGAACATCATCAAGGGTAATATTGTCATTTAATTCATCTAACAACCAAATTCAATGTACCATTCATTCTCTCTCTATATATATTTAGTAGTAACTCCACTACTCATTACTAACATAGCAAAAAACAAACACAAAAAGGGAAAATGGAGAAGCATGCTAAATCCGTGCGCCAGCTGGAGCCATGGGGAGAACTCGCCGGAAAAGTGGTGATGGTTACCGGAGCTTCATCGGGAATCGGTCGAGATTTCTGCTCCGATTTATCAAAAGCTGGTTGTAGAATCATCGCTGCCGCTCGTCGAATCGATCGATTGCAATCTCTATGTGATGAAATCAACTCGAATTCGAGTCAGGATTTACGTGCCGTAGCGATTGAGCTTGACGTTAGCGCTAATGGTTCTGCCATTGAAGCCGCCGTACAGAAAGCTTGGGATGCATTTGGACGTATCGACGGTTTGGTTAATAACGCCGGTATTCGAGGTGAGATTGGTTGATAAATTGTCAAATTATTGAATTGAATTCAGTATTTTAGCGTATCCAAGTATTAGGGATAGTTTAGGAACCAAAAACAACTGATAGTTTGAACTTGAAATGACTAATAGTGAATATGAAACTCGCAAAAAAGTCGTATTTTTGACCAGTATAATATAATTTCAACTATTTTCATAAATTTTAGTTGAATTTTGAAAGGTCATTATCAAGGAGTTATATGTACAAATTTTGGATATTTTTTTTTCTGAAAGAATAGTTTGTGGAAGAATAATTTCCATTTGAAATCATTTCTTCAAAAAAAAAGTAGGTCCATTTTTTTCAAAAAATTGTGTACATAAACTTTTTGAAAAAGAAAACGATTTGCAAAATATTACTAAAATATTTCCACAAATTATTTAAAAATGGGCCAGAGATTAGACACTATCGAGCAAAAGATAATATATAGTAAAAAATAAGCCAATTTGTATCTTTTGGTGGATATTACTATTTGTTGCTTGGGTAAAAAGTTTTGTACTTAATATTCCAATGTGTATGTGAACCTTGTCCATGATTAGTATTTCGAGTTGCTATCAGCCTTAATTAATAAGCGGTTGTTTGTTAGCTGGTTAGAGTTATGCAGATATTAGCTATTCATTATAGATCATGTCGATTTTTTCAAAGTGGTACTAGTTTGATTGGGAAATGATTCCAGAATATGTGAAAGAGATTTGTTACGTTTTAGTATTTGTCTTTGTGTAATGTCTAATCTATCTGTTTTATCTTATAGGCAGTGTGCATTCTCCACTGGATTTGTCGGAGGAGGAATGGGAGAAGACCTACAAAACGAACTTAAGAGGGGCATGGTTGGTGACCAAATTTGTTTGTAAACATATGCATGCTGCTAATCAAGGAGGATCTGTTATCAATATCTCTTCTATCTCTGGTCTTAATCGTGGACAATTACCAGGTGGTCTTGCTTATGCGTCTTCAAAGGAAGCTCTCAACAGCATTACAAAGGTAGTGTCTTGTTTTTCTTATACAATATGGTTTGTACATACATTTAAATGCTCTGGAAACATACGTATATAGATTCACATATTTGTTGTGCAAAATGGTTTGAGAATACATATAGTAGTGTAGCACTAACGAAGAGTGAGTAGTACTCTAACATAGTTGCCACACAACGCTCTTGTGAACTATGATCGAGCCAGAAATGTGGATCTAGTTATGGTAAATGTGGAGGCATCAATGAGAAATCTAAGCAGATAATATTTCTAGTTGTCTTACTACCTTGTTAAACTTTATATATGTGATGCCTCGCGCATTTCAGTCATTTGGCTGTGATTCTTTTATACTTGTTTATAGCTTATGCTTCATAGATATTACTTGTGGCATTGTCCAAGATGTTCTACCTTCGGAATGTACTCTGAACTGTGTCGTAATGCACCTCTGTATTGTTTTCTTCTCGTTCTGATTTACAACCTGATCAATCGTTGTATTCTTCAAACGTAACAGGTGTTGGCCCTCGAATTGGGACCATACAAGATCAGAGTGAACTCAATATCACCAGGACTTTTCAAGTCTGAGATAACAGAGGGTCTCATACAAAAAGACTGGCTTCAAAACATTGAACTGAGAACTATTCCATTGAGAACACATGGAACATCAAATCCGGCTTTAACTTCAGTAGTACGTTATCTGATCCACGATTCCTCAGAATATGTTTCAGGTAACATGTTCATAGTAGATGCAGGAGCTACTTTACCCGGTGTTCCGATTTTCTCATCCCTCTAGTTATAGAGGAAAACAAATTAGGAAAAAAAAGGATGGAGAATGGAAATGTTAGGGAAAGAACAGAGGCTTGACTTTGGTTGCCTAAAGATAATTTTATGTTTTTGTTTGACATATTTATGGTAAAGAATGTTTTTTTTTTTGTGCATGGAATTGTTTTTTTATTTGTATAGCTCCACCATTAATTGAAATTAATTGAACTCCTATGAAGTAAAGTTTATTGTTTTTATAAGGAGTATGTGTTACTGAGACTTCTTTCTTCTGCTTTAAAGGCTTTAATAGTGGATGACCGTGTTAGAGAATGTTTTACTTTTATTTACTTAATTATGTTTAATACGTATTCTTACTTTGATTTTATCGCTTAATCAGGATAATCCGATTATAGTTTGATATAAACATCAAGATGAATAATTTTTAATGTAACATCTTTATTTGCTTTTATTGTGGATTGTAACAATACCACCCTAATCTTCGACTTAGCTCCCAAAGGTAGTTCATCTGGCCTTTCCCAACCTATATAAGAAGAGTGGAAGATAACGAAAGGGAGATGTAATCTAACTAAATATGACAAAAATCAACATTCCATTTAGCATATTAGTCGAGTCGATTTGATTTGTCTTTATCTATAAATAAAGAGATAATTTATGACGTATTTGATCTCGATATTTCTAAAAAGTACTTCTCGGAGAAATAAAATAAATAAATAAACCATATAACAATTATATTTTTTTTTCTATATATTAGAAGAGAGAGTTTCAACATGTCAGCTTGGTGACATTAGATAAAAGTTTAAGGGTATAATAGTATTTTCCTAAATCAATTTGTTTCAAAAAAATTGTGTTTTCTGCTTTATTCTTTAGACCACATCAACAAGTCCATAAAAGATCCATAATTTTCTGTTAAATTACAATTGATGCCATCCACTGAAATATCATTAATTGTGATTGGGACCCATTGAACTACACTTGTGAAGCTGTGGTCATTAATGGTGATTGAGACCCATTGAACTACACAGTGATTTGTTCCCTCAACTTTTGCCTTATTTATTTTTTTAATAAAACACTTTAGCCATTTTATTTATGAAATGTCCATTGATGAGTTTGGAATTGGTTCTAAATAAAAAAAAAATAAAAATGAAGTATCATTAATTCAGATTGAAAATTTATATATTAAATAATATTTTCTGAAGTGTTACATTACATTAAAAAGTTATGAATATTAAAAATGTAATAAATGGTCTTATATGATTTATGATATGTTAATTACAAATATTATATAATAATAATAATAATAAAATAATTAAAAATTAAAATAGAGAGTATGAATAGTAATTATTCAATCATCTCTACAAATGATGAATAGAGAATGATTGAAGAAAACATTATCTATTTTACTCTCCAAATATAGAGAATATAGAGTAAAATTAAGGTGGATCGGAG